GGCACAAATGACCATTTTTTGGTACAAATGACCATGTAACTATGGCAGATATGAGCAGTTTTTGGCACAAATTACTATTTTTTTTGAGACAACGACCACTTAACTACGGCACTAATGACCATTTTGGTAAATATGGTACAAAAGACCATATAGTACCCATATTACAAATCAGCATATGATGTATAATAAAATTGTGACAAGTGAATCAGAACAAATACGGAATTTTATGATGTATGAAAATGTTATTATTTTAAATGTGATTTTTATTGAATATAAATAGCGCTAATTTTATTAGCGCTTTTTTGTACTCAGAAGAATTTGAGTATTAACTTTTTAATCTTAATCTTATAACTTTCTAACACATATGTGTCCTTATGACGTCAGTCTAGGGCCAGGTGAATCGACTGTCGATGAACGTTACTTGTATACATACGAAAATTCTTAAATGGTGCGGATCAAAGGGAATTTATATTGATGAGCAGTCAGGCTTCACCCCGAATAGACGCAAGCCTACAAACTCGTATTCTTACAATTTGCGAAGATATACGATTAACGATAACAGCATCAAATCGTCCCGTACTTGGAATATTTGTAGATTTTATGACTGCGTTTGATAAAATGTGGCATTCAGTTCTCATTTCAAACTTGCTAGAATTAGAAATGCCACTAAATCTTGTACTTTTTTATATATGAATGGCTAATAAGACATTCAATGAATATACAATATGGTGAAGCTCTATCCAGAAAAATAGATATTAACGTAGGCGCACCTCAAGATCCAGTATTATCAGCAACTTTATTTAGATTGCATTTGCATTTTCTTCCCAAAATGTTCATGCATTTTGATACACATTTATTCGCTGACGAGCTGGCAACGTTGATAAAAGGATCTATTGAAAAAAAAGTTGTCAGTGAATATAACTCAACTAGAAGAACATGCTAAAATAGCTATGTTAGGGTTAGGGAAATACTCTAGAGATATTTTATTACCAGTAAATCCAAGCAAAACAAAGGTCATGCTATTTCACAATGCCGTCGCTTCTGAATATCCGAGTATATTTTTTGAAAATCACAGACTTGAGTTTGTATCTTGGTTTAAGTATTTAGGAATCGGAATAAGAACTAAATTGGGGTGGAGAGTTTATGTAAAATCACGTGTAGCAAAAATAAGAAATATCTACTGTGGTCTTCGAAAAATATGTCATACTACTTCAAAAAGAGACATCAAAACTCGACACTTGTTGTTTCTTACTTTCACCGTTCCTCATTTCATATGGATCTCTATTTTGTGGTTCCTTCTTACTGAAAAAACAGAAAATAGAAATCGAGCATGTTTACACATCAGATCTTAGAATAGTATATTCCTTATGGGGATGAACAACCATATTACTCCAACTTTAGCTAGAGAAAAAACTTTAACCGATTACATATATAAGTATTGGAAAAAATTAAAGAACCATTTAGACAGACCTAGCGAAGCTTCTGCATTCAATGAAGCATTTGAATCATATATGATCATCACCTCTCCCAATCGCCTCAATTTATACAATAAAAGTAGGGAGTTCAGAAGAAATAGTAAATATCCGGAAAGATTAGCACAACAAGCGACTTACATATATATCTAGATTTATTTAATTTCTTCAATATTCATGAAAAACAAATAAATCACTATTTTACTTCAACAAACGATCTAAGAGATTTTATTTGTAAGTACCTTCTCCTCTCGATACCAGTGATATTTTTTAAATTGTCTACACATCTCATCTTCAACAGTAACCTCATGTGTACAAATATTCCATTAATTTATACTACCTTGGATCTTCTCTTTTTTCTATTTCTTTCTTTTTGTTGTCATATATTTTTTAATCTGTACCAACTTTATCTACCTGACTTTTTTTCCTTTATCAATCTCTATTTCTTCTAATATAAATGACGATTACGATTTTTTCTTGGAGGAATATTGCGAACCGTATATAGGATAAGAAGATAGCAGAAACCAACTAATCACATAAAGCGTTACGCTCTAAAGCTTTTCCAATTTTTTTCCTTCATCTAATGTATTCTTTCATGCTATTATGTGATGTCGGAGAAACTTTTGTCACGCTTTTTTTAATATGTTAGCCCTGTCAATTGGGAACAATAAACTAAGTGAAAAAAAAAATAAATCTCAATCAAATCCACATACAGATCAATGGAACAAACGAGAGAGAAAGAGAAAATATCTATTTATTGATGTTTTTTTTTTGTAATATCTATCATGAAAAGAAAATTCTATTTGAAAGAACTACTATCGAACAAAAAAAAAACAAAATCTAGATATCATAATGAGTTTGAAATATTCGTATTTTAAATAACAGAAAAATAAACACCAACCAAGATGATCACTATTGTTTTTCAGATGTATTTTCATCTGTATTAGCCCAAGTTAAACGCTCTTCATAAAAACGAATAACCTGTTGAGGATTTTTCACATTATCTAAAAACAAACAAACAATATATATATATGAGATTGGCCAGTCTGGTCGGATGTCCCAATGCTTTTTTTTTTACCATTCAGTTTCTATAATATATCAGAAAAATCTGATTTTTTTACTAGTTACAGTATTCATATAATGCCATTATATGAATACTGTAACTAGTAAAAAAATCTGATTTTTCTGATGTATTATAGAAACTAAATGATAAAAACAAGCGTTGGAACATCTGGCCAGACTAACCAACCCCATATATTTATAATTAGATGGACATACAAATAAAAATCAACCAACATATGACATTTTCATTATCTCATTTTATACACTTCTTGTTGGTTTGGTTCATTGAACTTCATGGATTTCAGTTAAGCTGATACAAATGTATGGTTTTGAAAAAGAAAACGAAACAGAAAATAAAATTCGAGAACTTATTATTTGAACGAAGAGATGATAAATTCACGGTGTAGACGACAAACCTGAGAAATGAGAAGGCATCTATGATAGTTGAAGATTGATGAAATGTACGCAATTAATATTACAAAAAAAGTGAGATTAAATCATGGTTTTTTTTCTGTATAATACAATGAGCGATAGATGACAGTACAATTGCGACGTAGTCGCATGCGATAGGTATGAAACTGCAACGAATACGCCACGTCCTCATTGCACACACTATAATCCCAACTGTGAATCATGGTGCAGATACGCATTGCAATGCATTGAATACATCGATGTTCTTCAATCTGTACTGGGAGACACACAGCTGGCAATAGACAAAACTAGTAGCGTATTTGATAACGATTCCATAGAACAAAGTATGTTGATAACTTTTTACTTTCATTTTTTTTTACTTTTAGATAAAAAACGAAAGCATGAAGGTTCTGATTGTTTGTTTCGTTCTAATTGCTATTGTTCTTCTATCAACATCAGCTAAGGCTGAGATTCCAACATGTCTTCAGAAAAAGATTGCTTCCATTCTTGCCGGACCCGTATTAAATCCACCTGCTAGTATTTCGAAATATTTATATCGTGGCAAATTGGTCTATCTATGGATTAGCAGCTGTTGTGACCAATTCAATCCTCTTTATGACGGAGAATGTAATCGTATTTGTGCTCCTTCAGGTGGTAAAACAGGTCGTGGTGATGGTCAATGCGCGGACTTTAGACAGACGGCAACATTATTGGAAAATCTCTGGGTTGATCCACGATCACATAGTAAATAAACTATTATATGAAATAAAATGAGATATTAATCCAGCAACAGTTTATATTTTTCTGCCAATACGATTGCTCTTTCTCTTCCAGATATCAGAATACGATTTCCGAATAAAAGTTCGAGGTGTGTGTGCTTAGACAAATATCTTGTTTCAATAGTATAGTCTTCGAAAGATTCTTTGCTTTTTATATGATAGAAGGGATTTTTTTTTGAAAATCTCAAAAATAAATGGCCGAAAGATACAAACAATTCAAATCTTATTCTTTCAATGGATGTTGTGTAGAATGAGGAAATGGTTTTCATGAATTTGCAATTATCAATCCTTTGCTCAAGAATACCAGTACCATTCTGAACAGTATACAGATTCGTTCATAAAGCTTTCATATCTCGAACAATGAACATATAAATCAGTGATTGTTTTAAAAGAGTATTCACATTGGAAAACAGATTCTCGAATGCAAATTCTGATGACAATCGTTGACGTACATCCATGTGCTGCTATTAGTTCGCCAATTTGAGCATCAATGAATATATTGTATTTTTAAGTTTTCGAGAGGGTAATATCGACAACGATAATTCCATCGTCTCTGTTGCGTATTTCGACTGAAGAGATGACACAAACAACTCAATATACGTTGTCTAGACATGAATAGATTTTGGGGTTTGCGCACGCGTTTACGTATAGCACCCATCGAATGTTTCAGCATTTTTATACCATTTTGAAGTTGATCACATCCAACACTCAAATTATCAATTCTCTTTCTTCCATAAGCAACCATACATGTCGAAATATCAATATGTAATATGTCTCCAGACCACAAACGTTCGTTTTCGACAGATCGGACAGACTGCGTAGCAGAAATGAAATTATGAGGATATCAATCTACAAGATGGTTCAAAAGTCACTTTACCGAAAAAAATTGAATATTTCCATTACGGCTACGAGCAAACGAGCTGATTTTTTATCTATGATAGAGGCATGTTCAAACTTTATATTCATAAAGACATGCCTAAAGAGACCTTTTGCTAAGTATTATTATTGATCTCAACAAAGAAATTGAGGGCGTGAGGATGGGTGGAGGTGTGGGTGTGGATGAAGCTAAATAGAATATTCCCATGTACACCCACACCCATACCCCAAATATGCTCTTTAAAACATGTTGAAGTTGTGTAGTTGTTATGCCATCCATAGTTCCAGTGTAGTGGTTTTTTCAATATCTCTTGATTCCATCCAGTATTCGGGTCAAACTAATATAGTTCGGTTGATTGCTTCTATCATTCTTTTTTTAAAACTAAAAATAGTTGTAGATAATCGGACCAATGTAATTCGGTTGTATCTCCTATTGAACTCAGGCTTTCCCATGAATGTTTCTCAATATTAAGAGTGGATAATGTGTTTTTAGAAAAAAATGTAATTAATTGATCGCTGATTGATATACATTCGACCAAATGTCAACATGGAAAAAGCAATGAATGTCTTCGGTTTTTGTGATACTAGAAGTTGATCAATAAAGCAATAGGATGGAACACGAAGAGTCGTTAGTTGAAAGATTGTTTTGACTGAAATCCATTCGTTTGGAATCTCATTGATGCTAAGTTCAATGGGAGAATGTTCTATGTCATGCTTCAGCTTTTGAAACCTATTTGTTAACTGATCAATACGTTTTTCAAAGTAATTTTCATTTTCGGGTAGTGCATTTAGTTCATTAGATAGCAGTTCAAATTGTTTCTTTACGCTCTCATGGTGTTTCAGAGCAATTTTCTATACTTGTTTACGTGCACACGCAGCTAATTGTTTGATCAGTCTGGTTGTATCTAATTTCCATTTATTGATTGTCTCTAGTTCTATTCTGATATTATCTGACCACTGCTGTTCTTGAGGTGTTAAAAGTTTCTCTTGTAGTGCAGTTCTCGCACTGGCAACTACCTTCTTGAATAAATCAGTCAGACGTTGTACCATATGCTGTGAACAGAAATGTTTTTTTTTAACAACCTACACATAATAAGATATCTGACTTGGGTTTTTGTTCAGCAGCAAGTGTATTACATGTAGTACAGACGTTTGAAGGAGAGACATAAGCCATTATTTGCTAAAGAAAAAAATTGCTTCTATAAGATAGTGTTTGTTCTTACATAAAATGTGACTGAAAATGGATGAATGAAGAAAAGAGAACAACATTCTCAATTAAAGTACATCACCTTTCTTTTTTAACCACAAAAAAGGATTACTAATAAAGTAAAACATGATCACTATGACTACATCTCATTCATCAATGTGAATAAAATCAAGTTTAAATTTAATACAACTATTTTAAATTTTCATTTGCTTACAAAGTTGAAAATTTTATTAGTTTTATGCAAAACAATTGACTTTAATAGTTTACCTGGAAAATTTTATCAATAGAAGCATATATAGAAAAAATTTGTTCCACAAAATTTTAATCTAAAGTTTTTTTGCTGGATAGGAGTGTCGATGTGGCTGTGGGTGTGTGGGTATTAGTGAGGTTTGTCTAATCACTCACACTGACACCTTACCCTCAAGATGTTGCTCTCATTAAACACTTGTTTGAATATATAAATTTATACTACTTTCAGATATATTAGTTCGGTATTCATGAAAATATCAAATATCACTGGTTGTGTAATTTCTCATCTGGTACTAGTTCTTTTCTTGCAGTTCATTATCAAGCTATTGATAAAGAGTATGAGGAACTTGTGATAAATTCTCTGATATGCTGTATTTAGTTTATGTAATACAATTCATCACCTACCGAATTAAATATTACAGTTTACATTTAATTTTTGTTAGCTAAATTTTATCTTATATATAACAGCAAACATAACTCAGCAATTATCAATACTGTTACCAAAAATTAATTCAAGATCGATCAATATTATATATTGAACGAAATATTCATATCAAATAAATTTGAGTAGTCTAGTTAATTCATCATAAGTCACTGTCGACTCATCAATTGTCAAGAACTGATCACACTTTTTTCAAATAAGCTTCAATGAGAGAAACATGTCTAACTCAATATTTAAGAATATAACAAAATTTTACGGTGCTTTGAATTACTATTTGTGAACTATCATAAAAAATTAATCTCTTTTACATAAATGCTTGAACATATTTTATTCAATATTGATGGAAAATATCATAAAAAATGGAAGAATAATCTTTCTATTATCTCAGAAAAATATGCATGAATTCACTTTAAACAATATGTGCTGAGATGAAAAGATTTGTTTATTTAGACCAAATACGTGTTAAAAAATTTTAATAAATGGATATCGAAGATCGACTATAATAACATAACGACAGATAAGGTGAAGCAAAATAGTCCTGAAAAGACAATATGACTAGACCATACGATTAAAACCAATACAATTTATTGTTAGACAAGGTCAATATATATGCATTATGTTTTGTTTCTGATTTTTTTTGTCCATTAAATTTTGCTTCATTGGAAGAAAATGATTCATCGATATGTCTAACCGTTAGCGGATTTTGCCATATTGTTATTCATTGACATATAAATATGTGCACATATCATCTATCGTGTCACATATTACTTCAAACTTGGTTGTAAATGACTACTGTAACTACTCCAGAAATGAACCAAGTTGCAATAACAAATGCAAATCAAACCAACATGTTTCATGTTAATCAACAACAAACGCAATCAAACAAACAGGTTTGTCAATATAAGAATAGAATATGCCACTGACGCCTAGAAGAAACTTGACAATTTAGAAAAATGAAAAAAATAATAAATTTCCACTTTATAACTATTATTCTATTATTGTCTATATTCCAGGAGCATTCGTTTATTCGATTATTTTATCCAAGATCAAAATGGAGTGATAAGATTGAACTTTTTGGATGCATTTGTCTCATTATTATTATTAATATTGTCTGTTGTGAACTGATAGTAATGTGCGGGCTACATCTGTTGAATACATCCAGTGATGTAAGTATGAAGTATAGTAAAAATCAAGATCTTAATTTCTTAAGTTTAGGCTTTTCTTTATCGATATCAATGCATGCTTTGCTTCATAATACTTTTCATTAGTTTGGGTATTATATTTGTGCTAGTTTGCGATATTGCCTGTGTACTTGCACTTGCTACTGAATGTATTTTTCTTGCCTGCACAAAATATTATTATGTTGAAGGTGAGTATAATAATTGAATATAATATATGAGTTCATTTCTAATAATCAATAATTTCTATTTGAAATTTTCAGGAAGAAACTCATACAAATGGTGGCAAAAAAAAGATAACATAGAATTTATTATTATTAGCATCATGGTATTAATAGGATTCGTTATTAGTGTTGAATTAGGATATAACTTATTTGCTAACATCAATGAGAAAACATTAATTTTAGTAAGTATCTATTAACAAGAAAGACAATATCGGATCTAAAGATTCAAAACTAATCTCAATCAAAAGTTCAATTTTCAATATTACTAGACATACATATTTAAGTTGAGCTATCTCGATTGATGTATAAAGAAGAACAATAGTATTAATTGTTCGAAGATTTGTATAAATTCTTTTAATATCGTCTTTACAATAGACTTAAGATTTTATATAAGAATATTTGATACGAAAATGAGAAGAACATGTTTCTTTATATTTGTTTTTTTTTTATTCAATTTTAGGATCGATTAAGTATCTATCGATTTTTTGGATTTTTCACCTTTTTGTGTCTTTCATTGACATTTGTAGCAGCCTATGATCAAAATAAATCATTATATACTTTTATTCATCAAAAGATGTTCTTAAAAAACATTATTTTAAAAAGATAGATCGATATTTGGTATAATATGTTTCTTTTCATTTGTTCAATACACATCTTCTTGTTATTTGTTTATTTCTTATATGAAAAATAAATGTAGATCATATTTGTTTCTAAATCATCTTTCAATTTTTATAACTATGTCAAGCAATAGATTTATTATCCTAACAGATCAATCGATTATCACATATTATGTTTAC